GGGGCCGGACGTCACTGTGGCCCTCTTGCCTGAGTGACCGCTTTGTCTGGCCGCGAGTCGGGCCCCTTCCAGGGGGAAGCTGTGACAGGCGGGGCCCCAGGGGGCCTTCTCCAGGCGGGTGTCACCCTCCCAGCAAACCACACCCCAAAGGCACTGAACCACTCTTTTGAGGTTTAAGCCCCAAAGCTCCAGCATCCGCAAAAGCCGGGGGAACCGGCTCCCTGAGACAAAGGCAAGGGCCGGCCCTTCCCACCCTTCCCGTGGGTTCCCAAAGCAGGGAAGGGGGGCGCGCAGGAAGGAGCCTGCCCCACCCCTCTGCCCAAAGCGTGGCCCTTCAGGCCCCGGCCTCCGCTAGGCCACAGCCTTCAGTTTTCCTTTTTTTTAAAGAATTATTTACTTACGCATACAAGAACTGGGGTGCAGGCCAGAGGTGCATGTGTGGCCGGGGATTGAGCTCCCCTCCTTACCCCTTGTGCCGTTCAGGGAAGCCCCCCAAAGTGTGGTCTTCCAACAGGTGCAGGTCTCATGGACGCCGCCCCCACTCCAGATAGTGGAATGACTGACCCCATCGCTAGCAAGGAGAAGCCGTGTCGTGAGGGCGGCGCTGAGCGGCCAGGCTGGGCTAAACCGGACGTGTGGACTGGACGTGTGGGCTCGGGGGTCTCGGCCTGGGGGCTCGCGGCTGCTCATGGGCTCTCGATCGGCTCTCAGCGGCCGGTGGAGTCCAGGTCAGCAGAACTGGAAGGACATTCTAGTTACCCTGTGTTTCTCTCCCTCTTTCCCTGGGTTATTCCTTTACCTTTCTCCTTATAAGTAAACCCATTATTTAACCTTTTTGAGTGTGTCCACAATACGACTGAATCGTAAGCGCGCGGGGAAAGACCCACATTGGGGTGCCCTGTAGCAGTCTTGCTGGTTGCTTGTCAGTGGGGCTCTGCCTGGGGGGGCGGGCCTGGGCTGCCCTGCTGTCTGCCTCCAGGGGTCCGGCTCTGAGTCATCCTTCACCTTGGGGGCGCACGCGCCATCTGGAAACTGTCCACTTCCTGAGGGGAAAACCCAGGCCCCCAACAGCAGAGACAGGCTGTGGGAGGATGGGGAGCTGCCTTTAGTCAGCACCTCTGTGGGCCAGACCCCAAGATGTTTGTGGAGGACACTTCCTGTTTGCTGGAGAAAAGTGCCCCCCCGCCCTGTCGGCTGGGTCTGCGGCCAGAGGGAAACCGAGGCCCCAGGACAAGCACCCCGGGAGGGCCCCCCCACAAGGCCTGAGCCCAGCCACAGCCAGAGGGGCGAGCTTGACGGCGGGCCCGGGAGCTAGGGGGCGCAGGCCCCACGGGTGCGTGGGCTGCTGGGCCAGCGGTGGGCCAGCGCTGACCTCCTGGGCAGGGGCGCTCAGGGCTGAGTCGGCAAAGTGGACAGGCAGGCGACACAGGACAGACAACGGCGTCCAAACAGCACGTACCGCTCCTCCGTCAGCACGCACTGCAGAGCGAAGACGGCCGGCCCGTCACACAGGCGGGGGCGAGCGGCCCTCAGCGGTGACCCGGCCCAGAGCTGGCTGCCCGCAGTTGGGTGCCTGGCCCCTCAGAAGCAGAGGCACGCCGGTCTATGGCAGCTGCGAGTGGACACGGGGTGGCCGGCGGGTCCCTGCCATAGCGGCAGCTGCTGTCGACAAGACCCTCCCTGCTGAATTTAGAAGTGGACACTGAGGAGAAACGTCATAAAGCCTCTGCGCTCCAGCGCAGAGGTTCCCTGCAGCGCCTGGCCGGACCCAGGGTCAGCTCCAGGGTCCACCGTGTGGGGCTCTCCGGTGCAATCTCGGCCCCGACCGGGGTGGGGGGGTTGGGGGGAGGAAGGGGAACGTGGCGGGGCGGCCGCCACAGAGCCCCCCCACCTGGTCTTCATCCAGGTCCCTGACTCCTGTGCCCCAAGCCCTTGGGGTTCCCTAAGTTTGGGGACCCATCAGTCCCCTCTGTCAGGTAAGGGGGACCTGGAAGCACCTAAGGGCAGCGCTGGTCATCTATTAAAGTGCAAACAGATACGTAAATTCATAAGATCTAAGACTGACACTGCTGTATTCACCACAGCGATGACTGGCTACAATAACGTCCCTTAACCCTTAACTGAGTGACCTTCATGCTCGCTGAGGGCCCCCAGAGGGTGAAGCTGCGCCAGGGTGGAGCAACCTCTGGTACATCAATCACAAAGAGAGCAGTGAAGTTCCTTAAAACCTGAACAGAAAGCTTAAGAGAATTTCCTTATGTGAAGAGTGAACAGTAGGAAGCTGAGGTGTCTTTAAAAACTGAATGGGCTGTGGGGTGACAGGGCGGGGGACAGTCCTCCTGGGCAGAGGAAGAACTCCAGTTCCGCCTCCTCTTATAGTACTGACTTCGCTACAGCAGCCGGTCCTTTCAGCACCCAGCGGGTTGTGAGCCCACTTCTGGCTTCCAGAGGGGTTTCCCGCCCTGGGGCTGCCCGCTGGCCCTGCCGGGCAGCGCCTTCTGCGCCCGGGCCGACCGCCGTCAGCGTGCGGCCGGCGGGAGAATCACCAATGACAGAGTTCATCTTACATAAAATGCACTTTCGGACCCTCCCTGGGGCGCAGCGGGTCAGAGCGCAGCACTGAGAAGCTACAGCCGCTTCCGCATGAGTTCGATCCCCGCCTGCCCCGGAGGTGACCACATGGCGGCAGACCTCTCCTGACCGCCCGCTGCTCCCCTCAGCAGTGGACTTCGTCGACCTGCCTGTTCTGCTCCCCGCTCTGTCTCTGGTGAATCCTCTCACCCTCCGCATCTCTGGCCTGTACCCCAGGTCTGTATGAATAAATAAATCTTTAGAAAAAAATGCACTTTCGCCTTTAATAACTGACCTGTGGATACACGTGGGCGGCTGTTTCCTTTGTGTGCAAGATTTTACTTATCTTTGTGCAGAGCCGGGTGCGGGCTGGAGGTGCTGGGGTGACTGACCCCCCCAGACACAGAGCAGGGAGCAGAGCAGTGCGTAACAAATCATCTGCTGAGGGGAGCGGAGGGAGGAGGGGCTGCCGCTCCCTGGGGTCACTGCGCGGCAGGACAGAGGGGCCTGTGGGTGACAGCCCGAGCCGTGACTCTTGGCCCCAGGGAGGACCCGACACGGGCTGCCTGTCCGGGAAGGGGGTGCTTGGAACAGTGGCCCCAGCACGACCCAACGCGGCCTTGAGGCGCATGGAGAGGGCAGGGGGACAGCTCCACTCGGGGAGACGGCGTCTTGGAAGCCTGGCGCTGGGCCAGGCTCCCGGGCCAGGCCCAGGGGGCTCCGGTGGGGTGCGCTCCTGGCCCCCACGGCGGCTCGGTCCACAGTGGCTAGACCATGAGGGGCAAGCCCCAAGCGCCCAGGCCCTGCTGTTCGTCCCCATTTCGGGCCTCACCGAGGAAGGAAGGAAGAAAGAAAGACGGGGCGGGGGGCCAGCAAGGGGGTTTATTGCTCCGGCGGGGAGTGCAGTGCTGGAGGGAAGTGTCTCAGCAGGCTCCGGGTTCTGGAGAGTGGGCACCTGGGTGCGAGGCCGGTCGGTATCCGGTCACACTCGACGCGGGCTCCCTTGGACTCGGCCCTCGGGGCGCTGGGGCGCGCACCGGCGCCGCCCGGGGGAGCC